GTGAGCAGTGTGAGGGTGATGACGAGATGATGGGAGAGGGTGAGATCGAGAGATGATGCTATTACGCTTCGGAGAGGCATGTGAGAAATTGAGGATGCTCGCACATAATCCATGACGCGTTGCTCTTTCACCTGTTCATGCGTGATTTCGTAGCGGCAAATAGGATAACTGGTGAGAGTCATTGAGATGACGGAGACAGAGGAAATGGTCTGCTTCTAGCAATGGACATGCTTCATCATCATCGAGCAACAGCAGTTTGATGATCAGAGGGATACGAAGTCGATGATTTAGATTCAGCCTCTGCCTTAGCTTAGGCTTAGGGATTCTATACATGGCAGACTCTGGAACGAGTAGATCTGGAAGAAAATGAAGGTCAATTTATTGGGCTAGGTCAACAAACGAGCGAATGGTTTGTGTTCTGGTTGGGAGGTGTTGGATCGATTAATATCCAGTTACCATTTAGTTAATGGGGACTTTCCTGAACCCACCCACCCGCATCCTGTTGAAGTTGGCTTGGGAGGCACGAGTAGTCAAGCGAGGGTCATGAGCCAGAGGCTCTGGCACAGAGAGCACCGAATTGACTCTCTGTGGCAGATGAGAGTATCCCATAACCTCGCTGCTACTTATGCGGAGCGAAGCATCCAGCGTTGCACGTTTCGGAGAGTTTTTCGACAGAACTTCGAGGTTGAGACATTCGGATCTCACAAGTTCTGTAGCAACGTATCATGCTTTCGCCCCACTACCCACTACTCCCAACTAACTGGATGAATGGATGTTATTGGACAACAGACATTCAACAACAGTATGGTAGAGTGTTCAGGGTGAACCAGCGAGCGAGTAAAGTTGACCATTCTCAATAGTGCTCAGCGGGAGAAGATAAGCGGCTTATCATAAGCCAATATGATTACTAGAGATTAGCAGTTAGTCGAGACGTCGAGAGATACTCAGTCAGCGACCACGAGGTAACTACTAGTCAATGAATAGTAATACCTAGGTCTGGTTCAATCAAGTTCAGCTATAACTACTAGTCAACGCTGAGCTTGAGCCAACTAGAACTGTGCATTCCTTTGAGAGTGTAGGCTTTTCCGGAGACATTTGCACAGAATCACTATCCCTTAGCTCGAAGTTTAGCTAGCCACTGAGCCTTTCTTTGTTTTCGTTGTATTTACCTATTGGGAAAACTCTACTGTTGTGTTATTATGGCTCAAAAGACCAAGGCCAATCGAGTCCTCGATCGTTTATAGAGTCGTTTAGTGGTTCCGATCTGAAACCGTTAGATACCAAATCGCAAACTGAAGATTTCGAGGCATGATCAAACAACATTGGTGGTGATTTAGTTCTGCGACCTATCTCATTGAGCAATTCAGCTAAAAACCACTACCGTTAGTTTGTAGTGAAACATGCCTTTGAGTCATACTTGAACTCAACTAAAGTTTTCTCCTAGGAGTACATCTTACACATCATCAAACAAAACGAAGTTGGGCTTTTCCGTTTGAGCGACTTAACCCAGGTCGGCCTTTCAAATTCGACTCTCTCGCAGAAAGTCGTTTTCAGTTTGCAGTTTTCGCAGCACCTCCTTGGTGTTGAATAATTCCCCAGGAGGCAACGACGACGTGGAATTTCTCCAACCTTGAGAGAAGTACACTCGCTTATTCGTGAGATCGAACTCCACATCGTAGGCACGGAACAAAGGATGTCCCAACACGAGTGGGTGAAAGAACTCATTAACAGTAGAGATATCCAAATTGCAGCAAGTACCTTCACAGGAGTTCACATAGTGTTTGGGCTCAAGGTGAATGTCAATGAGATGAGGTACCTCCCCAATTTGGAATGCCAGAATAGGTAGATAAGGAAGAGCCTCCCTCCTAATCCGTGGGTACACCGCCTTTCCATCCAATGGGACGCTCTTACAGAGGAGGAGCTTCTTTTCTCCTATAGGGGAATGTGCTTTTGACTTCTCCATCCTATTCCATGTAACATCAATGATGTCCTTGAACTTATCCTCTTCAATCAACATCGCTGTATTTCCCGTATCCAGAATACCTGGCTCGGCCCACTTGCTCTTGCGCGAGTTGGTGAGTTTCTTCCCCCGAAAGTCTACGACTTTGCAAGTCCTCACTGGGACTGCTATCTTCACTCCCTCAACGAGCACATTCCTACTAAAAGCAACGAACGACGAGCTGCTCAGCGTCTTAGATGGACCACCAAGTATGAGATTGCCAGATATACCAGGCCCTCCCTCACTCATGTGAACAGAGTATGAAAGGGTTGTTATAACACCTCGCCTCTTCAGTTGATCTAGGAACGTCTCAGGAATGCGGGGACGACCGAATGATAGACCCAATGTTGCCATAGGAGCTCTCACATAGGGAGTTGGGAAGTGAATGACCAAGCCGAACGTGAAGTTCGAAAGTTTGGACTTGCCAATCTCAAGGGTGACGTTGTGTTCAACATAGTGATAGGTTCCGTCATCGAAATGCACCTCCCATTGCTTTCGATCTAATATGTCACGACAAGGATTATCCCCAGGGCAGAAGTAGCATCCATAATATTGCGTTTCACAGCTACCTCTACCATACATTCTCTCATATTGTGGACCATAGAAAACAAAGCTCCTACTCGTACCGGATGAAGCTTCGAGCAGTAGGGTCTGGCCATCGAGGGTCAGCGGCACGGCACCCTCAGAAACGCGCAATTTGAGGACCTCAAATCCCTGGGGATCACCTGTGACCAGGGTGATGAGGGCTCCTACGACAACCGCAGTCGGGGAGATTATATGCATTACCAATTTAGTAATGACGACACTACCGACACGGGCAAGTCTCATGCCAGAAGAACACACGAGAAGGTTGTCCAAGACGAGGCCAGCGAGCCGTCTGTTGCGGACATGGGAAATCCACCGCCCGAGGGAAGCCTCTCGGTTCGTGTCTCCGAGACGGTGGGATGCGACTCGCTCGCCAAGTTGAAGTTCGGCATCCGTTAGCAATGCTCAATCGTCTTATGATGTTATGAGTATAATTGGGGAGGACGTGACTGCCTTACTACATCTTACTCAACCCTATCGCTGGTACAACCAACGTTCTACGTCCGACTTGAGCAGTTTTCCATGCGCTCGATCCTTCGCTTTCCTGTCTCGTACACACAGATAGACACGTTTGCTGGTTTTGAACTCTGGGTATGTCTCATTAGAATCTTGGGAAGTTCCCATATGAGGTATGTTCTCTTTTGGACTCTGTCCGTTCCAAGTAAGAAGATAGGATTCTCCAACTACGAGATTTCCATGGCCCCCAATCACCTTTCATATTCTACTAGAGGATACGCTCACCGTGGCCCTCTCATTCCTGACTATCATTCAGGAGGATTCTTCTTCGGAGGAGTCCGCTACAAGTCCCAAGTGAGGCAGACGTTGGCAGAGTCTGCCAACATCTGGTTTACCGTGCATCGTTATCGTGCTCTTAGTATGGGTCTATGCTGATGCAGCCGTTTCGTGTACAGACCAAGACCTGCAAGCCAAAATTATGTGAGTTCATTTCTAAACCTATTCTTGGTGACTTTCTGGGTTCCACTCTCTCGAGCTCATCAGGTAACACTCCAGTAACGGCTATGGCGGCTCAGTATGAAGCGAATTCGAACTATCGTGCTGAGATGAAGGAAAGATATAATGTGAGACGGCTCAGGCTTAGCCGACGATTAATTGATTAAGTAATCCTCAGGCGTTGATGTCTCGACCCGGGAGATCCTGCAATGGTAACAACGGAGAAAATGCGAAAAGTGAGTCGGGAACTGGATGTGGGATTCAGACTCCACGAGGAGTAACCGAGGGTTCCACCTACCCTATCCCACACTGGGATTCCCAGTCGCATCTTCCATTCTCGTCGTTTCCAGCATAAAGAAATGTATATTGGGGCCCACTGCTGATCTGGTGACTATGTACGCCTGATAGTTACCAACAAGGACTGAGACAGTGACTGGGAGACGATGATACCGTCGATGATAGCAGATCTACTTGGCCACTCATCTCGGTGAGTCACACTAGTAGCGTTATAAGCGTATTGTTACTCACTACCGAGATTGGCGCATCCGGTACTTCGTGTCAGGCACGGTGTAATGTATTTGTCTGTCGATGAATCTATTCACATAGGTGTCTGCCATGAATTATCAGTAGCGTTTGATACGTTGTTGTTCATCAAGCTTGTCTTGTGTTATTCCAGTGTTCAGGAACTCGTACGAACTATAGTTTTAGCCTGAGAATAGTATTTCTGCAATGACTACTCCTATTCCTGCCCGAATACCTCAGTATTTCTGAAATACCGAGGTATTCGGATAGGAATAGATATGGAGTAGATTTGGGAGGATCCTACCTTGAGGGGGCATAGCCGCGCCGACGGGAGAAACTGACATGTCTGGATGTAACACTGCAGCCCACTGTGAGAAATTGATCATAGATGTTTGTGCAACCTCCTTGAGTCTTGTGTATCCCGAGCTTATTAGCCTCCTATGCGTCAGAGTCTATCTGATAGACTCTATCAGATAGGCTCCATCAGAACCCGCATACCGGCCCACGTCGGCCATAGAGTGTATGGTATACACTGCGCCACGCGAGTTGTGCTCAAATGTAAGAGCTACACATGATCATCCAGACCTTTGGCCGTGTGAGGTCGGGTGTCCGCCACAACGACCGTCAAGTCGTTGACTCGGACGGTCAATGACCGTCCGAGTTCTAGTATCCCGGCACCGTAGAATGCATCTCTAATGAAACTGCACACGTGCAGTCAGTACCGATTCGTGTCATTGTCGTCGAGTGTTTGCCCGAGTGGTTAAGGGGGTGGACTTAAGATCCACTGGACATGGTCCGCGTGGGTTCGAACCCCACAGCACTCACATTCTTCGAAGTTTTAGTCAGTCCATTTTCACAAGCATAACATCCATCGCTCCACTGACACGCATGGGTCGGCACGCGTGCCCCCACTCATAAGGGCCCTATGCGGGATTATCAACAAATCATCGGTTTATGATGTTGGTAGCAGCTCAATCATAGTTATTATCATTATCATTTCCTAATGATAAACTTTTTACGTAACGACGGTCTCAGGGTAGCAGCGGGAGGATACGACCCTAAGCCAGGTGATACCGCACTACAAAGATTTGGTATGAGTTCACCATAGTTGTAGTTATTTCGGGTGCATGCATTCGCGATCACGTTGTAGACTATTTCTTATCGTAAAGGCCGATACTTAATCATCTCAGTAATGACCATCACTGTCCACGAGTTTGTTTCCGTGGCTTCGCTCGGGAGAGACCCGATGTTGTGTTAACTGAAATAGTTTTTATACTCTTCAGCTGATACTATCCCCCCATATGTTTAGATCGAATTGTTCCTTCCGACTACCGTATCGTATGGAAGAGTCCATAAGGGCTGAGCGGTATTATCCAAACCGGCTTATCATGTGGATGAGGTATTCAGAGACCAGCCTGGTATATGTGGGACTCTGATAGATGCGATACTACTGTATAAGTAGTACATGGTCGTGGAATGAGAAGGTTGAACACTTACGCATTCTCGGTATGCGGCCCTATTCTGAGTTGAACTTTGCATTTTTAATAAGTGGTTATTCTAGGTTGATTTACGGAAGTAGTAGTGATGTATTCTCATTCGTTTGCTCGTACAATAGTTTTCCATCACAGGATGATGATGAAGAGGTCGTGCTTCAGATTCATGCGTCTCCGCTCCTTACAGCACTCAGTTCTACTATCCTAGTTGAGGAAAGGTGGCCCTCCTTGAGGAAATCGGTCGGCGGCGGTTACAAGGTGAGCTCGGGAGCGCTCATGGAGGACGATCTAGAGTTATTCGGTTAGCAGAAATCGGATCTGACACCTTTGAGTTCCATGTTGTGCGCAACGTGACGCCGGAGGGATGTCACCGCTGAACATGCAATTTCACAGCGGCGACGCTGTTGTTAGGCTGGAGATCCGCTGTGAGGGGTACACCGTCAGGAGGCTCTTGTTCTACATTGGAGCATGTACTATGGCGGACCTTCATGGGGACAGTAACGCGGTGGAAACACGGGCCACTCGGGCGGATTTCGAGGAGCACGGTCCGTGAGGGGTCTACAGGTTGATGCCAACTCGTCATCAACGTCAATTGGATACATGCAGTTGAGGCTATTGAAGTTTCATTCGTAACAAAGGCTTCTGTAGGATGTGTTGTGGGGCTGGTTCAAAATCGTAAGATGCGTATCAGATTTGGAATTCAGAAATATCAGAATATTGGAAAGTTCCAGTGGGTTGTTCATTCGAATTGGAAAAGTTCAGAATTGTTTGCCTATGCACTGTAAGCCCTTCCAGACTAGTCTGCGTTTAACAGATGTCTACACTACGTAAAGTGCGTTAGCATCTAATTACAGAGATATTCTCGCTCGCCCAAATAATTGTGATTCGCAGTCTCCTATAGGCTATCTCTTCCATTGTTCATTTCCCTATGAAGCCGCCGTCCCGATGCGAATCAACAACTCTAGAAGAAGGGTCTGCCCGTTGTACGGATGCTCCGGGGGTGCCTCGTAAGGTCGACATGTGGTTGTTGTTCCAATACGGTATTCTCGGTTTCGTAGCCCTGGCTCCATGGAATTTCGTCTTGACGGCTTTGTCTTTCCTAGACTCCAAATTCCACAATAATTTTGCTTCTAGCGTGCCCATCATCTATTCGGGGTCGGTAAATGTAGCTCAGCTTATCTCATCTGGGTGGGCATAAGTTCACCTTTTTACCCCGCTTTGATCTGGGCTGCAT